CAAGCAGACCTGTTTTGCATCAATAAATTAAGACGCTCTTTGGGGTCCTGAAGTTTGCTGGTGGCTGTCAGCGGAGACGTGGGCAAAAGCCCTGCAGCCGAGATTCAGCCTGAACTTCCAAAAATAAAATAATAAAATCACCCTCGGAGCGGCCGCCCTGCTGGGGCCAGGTGACGTGCGAGATTCCACAGCCTCGCAGCAGGAAGGGTCTGAGGTGCCCTGGTCCTGTTCTGGTTTTGTTTGCAAGGGCTTCTCAAAGATATGCTCCTGGGCATTTCTTCATCATCTTCTTTTTAAAAAGAGAGAGAGAGAGAGAAACAGACTTTCCCCCCCTTATCCTAGACTCAACTCCGAATGGAATGGATTGCGCGTTTGCCCGTGAGAAAACAGCTTGGCTTGGACCACTGCCGTCCCAGTCCCCGTCCCTGTCCCTGCCCGCCCTCCCCCCCCCACACACACACATCTAGAGGTCCCTTAGCACCCTTTGCTTGCAACTCTAAAAGAAGTTGGCCACTTTTTGTGTACCAGCATAGGGGTCAAATAATTCCTCTAGATGAAAGTTCAAATCCGTTTCAAAACTAGAATGGTTCCTTTTTAAAAAAATTTACTCCTCATCGTACAAAATAAACATTTTCCACAAGAAAGAAAGAAATCGTTCGCTGTGGCCAAATTAGAATTCTTTCTACAGCCTTGTGTGTCAAGGGCACAAACATTGTATCTCTTCGGGCATCTCGGCCGACCAGCGGAGAGGGCGGGCGCGGGGGCGGCAGAGGAGGCAGCGGCTGGGAAAGTTGAGGAAATTGACAGACTGAGAGGTGAATGGGGGGGACAGACACCGGGTCCTGACTGCAGGGCATTGGAAAACAAACGTGCATCTTTCTCGTCGAGCCTCGGTGGAGGGAATCCTGAGAGAGGCAGTTTGTTTTGCCCAAGGAAAACCCTGAAGAATCACCACCCCCCTTCAAGGTCGATTGCAATATTATTTCACATTTGCATGTATCTGTGGTTTTAATCCCTTTCGCCTGCTCTGATCTCGAAGTGGATTGTTAATGGGGAAGGCAGACGGGGAAAGAGTGATTCCTTTGCAGGACTTGCTGTTCTGTGTGAGTAGCCGAAAGCCAGCAGTCCCCAGCTCTCTCTGGACGTTCCCCTGCACCCTACTTTCCTCAGTCCGGCTGATCCCACGGTCCCTATTGTCCCCGACCTGGCCCTCCGGCTGAGGGAGTGTTCCAGACAATTTATGTTCCCACTCCCCGGGATCCCACCGCCTCTGCTGTGGTGGAAGCCCTCTTGGCCAAATGTCTGGGGAAGCTAGCAGGACCAGGGGTCACCTAGTGGGTGCTCACACCTCGCGGGGACCCTTCGTGTGTCACTAACCAAGTAAATATACACCTTGAGGGGAGACTGGAAATGTTCTTTCTTTCTTTCTTTCCTTTTTCTTTTTTTTTCTTTCTTTTTGACCCCAAATCAAATACTTGCACGCTGGGACTCCCCAGTGCTAAGTGTTGGGGGGCTGCCTCCAGCCACTCAAACAATTACTGAACCCAGGGTAATCAGATGATTAGGTGTTTTTAATGGTAATACTTAAGGGTCTTTCTTTTCTTTTTTAAGTCGGAGCCTAAGTAACAAGACATTTAATATACATAATAAAGACAAGTGTTTTCGCCAGCCGCTCGATTGGATCCTTTGACCTGAGGTTTTGCGAGTCTGTGAGGGTGCGTCTGGGCTGTAAGCCTCCAGTGGCCGCAGCTTGGGAAGAGGGCTTGCTCCAAACGCTGGGCTCCTCTGCCCCAGAAACCGAAGGCTGGCAAGAAAACTTCTAGGGGAAGCCGGAGCTATCTTTCTTCTCGAATAAAAGTTGAAGGGGCAGGAGGAGGAGGAGGAAAGAAATCAATGACGACGTAGTGCTAAATTCCAGAAGAGGGAATAGACGGGAAATAGATGTTGTTGGGTTACCATTGATAGGGCACACTGGAAGAAATGTTACATGTGAAGCTGAGACTGTAATCTGCCTGACCTATGTTGGAAATGTTCCGTTTTCTTTTATTATTATTATTATTCAGTGTCAGGCTGGAGATCTTAAAGACTCCTCTTGCATGGGTGCTTCATCTGGGAGGGGTGGGCTGAGGTGGCGAAAAGATGACATTGTCAGGTATCCTCATTGTAATAAATACTCCAGTCAGGACAGAGGTGAATTTGTGACCACCTCTGTGAATATCTACTACATCAGGCACCCTGGAGTTACGATGTGTCTGGGTGGCTGGTTCCCTCCCCCACTGAGTCTCTCCCCTCGGTAAAAAAAAATAAGCATACAAAGTACAAAGACATGTACATCCAGCAGTGTGGATGTGGCACCCTGAGTAGTGGCCCTGCCCTCCTTTGAGTGCAATTGGCAGTGACTCTTGCATTCAGTCTGCCTTTAGGTACATATTCAAAGCACAGTTCAAAGCAGTTTCTCTTAATGTTGGATCAGGATGTTATTTTTTTCAGATAGTTTTAGACCCAACACAAGGTGCTGTAGCACATTTAACAAGGTTAAAGCCGGAAAATCGGTGTGAGGCACCTCTTTGGTCCTCTTCTACACCTCTATCTCTACCTTTCTAAGGGCGCCTGAAAGCTATGAGGGCTGGGAAGTTTGTGTGTGCTCTGAGATTCTCAAGCATGCTCTCTAGGGAGAAAAAAAAAGCCTGTCAGTTCTTTAAGAAATTGAGCCTGAACCATTGGAGGCTAAGCGATTTCTTCCTTTCCGATAAATGCCTGTGCTCAGCATCCTCAAATTTGGCTGTCTTTATTTACTTCTATATTAGTTCCAATTATGTGTAGTGTAAACCAGCTTTTTGATTAACAAAACAGCAGAGCATTGGTTAAGAACACTTAAACTTCAAAAAAAAATTCCCCTGGGAAGTGGGCTCTGAATTGGTTAATAATGTGCAGTACTTGCTAAATTGCTGACTTCCAGATGTGGAAAATATCTTTCTTGTTTAGGACCTATGTAACCTGATTGGATTACGACAGAAGCGTCACGTTGGAAGCTTTTGAGTGATTATTTAATTAACCATACAGTAGAAAGCTGTATTCTCCAGGAAATCCCTTCCATATTTGCATAACCAATCCCTTCAGAGCAAAGGTGGAGTCTTTTCTTTTTAATTTTACTTTAATTGCAATATCAAAAAAATATATGCCCCAAAACTTAGACCCCATGCCGTTTTATCTCATTCCCTTTCTTCCCTGCTAATGGCCTTTTTCTCCCTTTCTTCCTCCCTCCCTACACACTCTCCCTCACTTTGTAGTAAGGTCCCCGTGACATGCAGAGAAAGAGAAATTCAGAGATCACTCAACCCTGTGTCTTATGTTAATTTACTTAGAGACCCTTTTTTTAAAAAAAAAGTCAAACAACTTTTGGGCATTGGGATCAAATCCAGAAATCCATCACACACAAGCATGCACACACACACACACACACACTTCAACATACAGTCAGATACAGTTCACATGCTGCTTTCCCCCCCCCCCCCTTCTGGTTCTGGCATCTAAAAGGGGAAAAAAATTAAGGGAAAGGGCAAATAATTCAGTTCAAGAAGCTATGCTGAGAAACCCGTACAACTTAATGTGCACCTTCAATCTGGACGTTCTAGCTGCCTAAGAAGAGGCAATCTGCCTTGAGGACCGGGATCTTCCCCTTTAACTTTCGCCCCTTGGAGTTCTCCAGTTCTGTGAATGGTGTGCACCGTTTTCCGCCCTGTACTCAGTAGGATTTAGTGATGAGGATAATGATGCCAA